CAAACAGTAGGTCGTCGGTTCCGGGAGTGACTGAGCGTAAACAACTCCCTGCAGTAAGCTCCTGACGTTGAGAAGGGGTTGGCCGGTGAGGCCAGACAGGGAGTGGCCTTGAACAGAGCTTTTTACTATCGTGTCTTGCACACGCGTGGTGGTCATGCCAGACATGACCTGTCCCCGCGGTGTCCAAGGAAAGCATGGCTAAGAAGAATAAGGTCGCTATAGAACAGTGGAATAACTTCTCATAATCAATAGTGCAGGCGAGGTCCCTACAATTCTTTAAGAAACGCGTGGACAATTATATATGCTAGGGTATACGCTCCGGCATACCACCTTTTCGTAAATTTTTTTCTCTGATGATCCTACGGACCAGTTCGTGTTCACAAAGAGCAAATCATTCTGCATTTTGTTCTTAACCAGCGTCTCCGCCAGCCTTTGCCGATCGCTGGATGCACATCTTCAAGAAAAGATTGGAAATTAAAATTAACTTTCAGAGTTTGGCTTCTGTCAGAGCATTTCAGTTAGATTTAAACACAGTAATGCTATGCTGCTTTTAATTTTGGTTTGTGAGATATAATCAGTAACTAATATAATTTCAGCATTACGGTGATATAATCAGCTACTCTCTGATCCTGAAGTTAATTAGTAAGATTAGTGGTGATCAGACAAAACGCATGGACTCATAAACAATTCTAACTTTCAATACGACCTTCGTGACTTCAAATGATGGTCAGACAAGAAATGACTTAAAGGCAAACTATAATGAGATAAGACAACTGGAAAGTTGAATTCCTGCTAGCGCATGTGTTCTGAATGAGGTGTATTCTCTCGGCACTGGTGGAATCCAACCGATGTTTTTGATGATGTCACCGCAACAGGCACTGACAAAAACAAAGTGCCCACCGTCTGTCACCCTATTTTGCCACGTCGACCTACCTTCTTTGACGTTGGGTGACGAATCATCTGCTATTTCATTGGCGGAGTAATTCACCGTCCAGCACCAATCAAAATATGTTTAGTTCCACACACATCCAATTGCTAGTCGAGACGGAAAGTCTTCCTTGAGAGCACAGAGGCTAAACACAAGAACAAACCTATTCGTGTGCTTGCTTACTTGGCATCTGACCTGTCTGAGCACAGGATGTCTACCTTCCAGTCAGCAGAAAGCAAACCCTTCGCCTTCCTCGAAAGATATCGCAAACAGGGTGGACTCTGCGACTTCACATTCTTTGTACGTTCTGCTATTTCATCATTTTGACTTCTTCAAAGGTGAATGGCGTGTACTTTCGGGCGCACAAGGTTGTTCTTGCAGCCACGATCCCCTTCTTCAGAGACGTATTCCTACAGGGCGGACAATGTGCTGAATTTGATCAATTATTGCAGTTTTCCCCCGAGTAAGTTTACTCCAATGAAACGTTGACTAATGTGATTCACAGGTTACTAGAAACGATAATAAGTTTTGCTTACAATGGATGGATTGAAGTTACGGAAGCCAACTTGTGTAAACTGTTGGACGCGGCTAAAAAACTGCAAATGGGCAGTCTGAGTATGCGGTGTGCAGAATACATTTCGACGCAGTAAGTCACCTGAACATTTTGGACTAGCAATTTAGACCTTCTTGTTAGTACAACTAGATTGAGCTAACCTACAGTTACAGTTGTCTTGATATAAGAGTACGGGTTAATTAAATAGTATTGGTGAAGCAATTTTCCGTGCATTTATTATGTTTCTTCCAAGCAAACTCCCTGGGAAAGCCAGTCCTACTAAAAAAATTTCGTCGAATAATGTGTAACCAAC